ACTAAAGTTACTTGATTGTTTTATGCGACATGTTATGTCACTATAATGGCGCGTATCAATGAACGTTCAAATCACGGTTGAAAATCTTAATAAATATTTTAAATATATATTGTCACGATGTTATTTAATTACTTTTAATTCGATAAGTTTAACTAAAGTTACTTGATTGTTTTATGCGACATGTTACGTCATTATAGTGGCACGTATCAATGAATCAATTAAAATAACTTTCGATCAATCAATTATAGTAACATTCAATTTTAAAGTAGTTGTTAAAGTAATTTTCTTGTAAATCATTTTGTATGATTAAGCATCATTATAGTGGCATTTAATGAACCAATTAAAATAGCTTTGGATCGAGTCATTAAAATGGTTTTTGAACGAACAACTATAGTAGCATTTGACTCTTATTATAGTGGTTTTCTTGTAAATCCTTCTGTAGAATTAAGGGCAATTATAGTAGCTTTCATATTTTTTTAAACATATCATATTTATTTGTATTAATTAAAACATTTACGAGAGTACTGTAAAAATGTACAAAAAAAAAAAAAAACAAATAAATATTGTCACTCGTTTCGATATAGACGTTTCTTTCGATTGAAATATTATAATCGAGCAATTTAATTTTCTTTTTTATACAAACACGATGGACAAATATTTTTGTTATGAGAGTAGGGGGGGGGGTGGGTATATTACAATGGTCAGTTCTTGCAATAAGTAGGTGCAAAAGATATTGCACAATATGAAATGTTAATTTCCTTTAAAATATATTTTCAACATGGTCGTCATTGACGGTTAAGTAAACAATGACGCGTGACAATGCAAATGCATTGACGTTAAACCAAGCTAATGAGAGTTTGCGTGTGGTCAACGGAACGAAGATATTAACCGTAACTTAGAGCACACACACACACACACACACATGCACATGCACACATGAAGAACAATAGAAGTGACGTAACCCACCACCCACCACCCACTTCTCTTGGCAAAACGAGAGAAATCTCTCGTATGCCAAAGAAGCGTATATGTGTGTGTGTGTGTGTGTGTGTTGTAAATTTTCTATAAACTAACGTTGCTTAACACAATTCATTTTCACAAAGAAAAATAAAAAAAAAAAAAAAACAAAAAGAAAAAATAAAAACAACCGACAATAAGAAAAATAAATTATCGTATTAATTATTCCAGAAGGGTTGTTTATTTTTTTATTTATTTTGTTAGAGAAATAAGGGTGAGGGTTGTGAACGAAGAACGAAAGGAAAAAAGAAAATAGAAACAAAAATCTAGCAAATAAAGAAAGAGATCAGCGTGTATCTAAATGTAAGGTGGAAAAATAAAGGAAAAGAAATAAGGGTGAAGGGAATAGGGGTGGAGAGAGTAGGAATAGGAGGAATGTATAAAAATAAAGAAACTTAGATAATAGTCAAAGAAAATTGCCGAAGGCAAGAAGAAGAAGAAGAACAAAATGATTACGTGTTTCACCTTTATTTTATTTTATTTTTTGTTAAATATTTTGTTCCTTCTCATTTTCATATTCGTTCTATCATCAACACGCGCGTAGAGGGGAGGTATAAGGGGGTTTATAAAATAAAAATTAAAAATTACAATCACGCGATATTATATTTTATTACGATATTATTAATAAATAAATAAATAAATAAATAAATAAATAAATATATATATAAGAACTAAATAAATAGATAAATAAATAAATATATATGGGTCACAAAAAGTTAAGGATAAAATTCGTAGTTATGTTCGGTCTAAAAATGGAAGAAGAAAAAAAAAAAGGAAAAAAAGGAAAGAAAAAAAAAAAAAGAAAAAAAAAACTTTTCTCATTATTTTCCTTTCTTTTCCTTCCTTCTTCTTTCTTTGCTTTCATTTTCTTTCTTTCCTTCTTTCTCTCTTGTAACTTGAAGAGAGACGTTTGAAACGCTGCAGCAAAACGTTGGTGAAACCATTTCCAGAATTCCTTTTGATCCTCGAGTTAAAACGCGCGAGCAAGAGAAAAAAAAAAAAGCTCACTCACTCACTCACTCTCTCTCTCTCTCTCTCTCTTTCTTTCTTTATTTTTTTTTCTCTCTTTCTTTCTCTTTTCCTCAGAGCTTTCCATTCCACCCCTAACCCCCCCCCCTCGCCCCCGCCCGTCGCGTTGTTATCCAACGAGGAGAACGCATCGAATTCTAGCTTGGGTCAGCAGTTCACTGCAACATCAACGTGAAACAAGGAAACCATCGACGTAGTTTCAGAGAAGATAAATCGTTCCACCACCTCCAACTGGCTGATCTATAATTTCAAATGTCTCCCTTTACTGTTACTAACCCCTTCCCAATTTCCCTTCTCTTCTCTTTCCTTCCCTTTTCTTTCTTTTTCTTTCTATCCCTTTCTGTACCTTCTTTTTCTTTCACAAGTAACTCGGACTTGATCAGAACGTGAATTATTAGAGTTGGGAATAAAATGGTTTTTTATTTTTCTTTTTCTATTTTTTCTGTTTTTTTTTTTATTTGTTATCATTCACTGTGTCACGCACTTTTGCGTGCCACACCTGGTTAGTGTACCATGAAAAACGTATGACGTATAAATGTATTATAGTCATACCTAAACTTGGAATTGTATGAGTGGTTGCTTTTATTTTTTTATTTTTATTTTTTTTTTTTTAACTGGAACATCGTATACTTGTGTTTACATTTTATATATTTAATAATTGTGTTTAACTTTTTAATTATAAAATATTATTTAATATGTTGTTTTTCTCTATGTAAATCGAATATGAAACTGAGGCAACCACTATTATAATGGTTTTGTGATCTAGTATTCATTTTCTTTTTTTAAACGTATCTGACTTATTTTTGGTTTGTTTGTTAACGATTAATTCAAGAATTTAAATTTTTAAAAATGCTAAACAATAAATTACGAACACTCGAATATTTTTTTTTTTTATCAATGTTGCAATATACGAAAAATAGTTAATGAAAGAATCATAATTATTTGTTGTAATTGATGATGATCAATCATACTTGACTTGCAAAAAAAAAACAATAATAATAATAATAATAATAATAATAAAAATGTTGCTTACCAATAAGATGACCCTCGTAAATATGCGAGGTATCAAGTTCCTCTTGACGACCACTAGGACCTTCTATAACTAGATTATCACTAAACGTGTTCAGGTCTCGCTTCAGTCGAATGTGAAAGTCTCTGTCGTGCGAACGAAACTTTAAAGTCACGAAATTGTTGCGGGTGACCGACCTCTTGGCCCTCAGGTGACCTCTGTGGACCTCCCCCGTTGGATAGGAAAGTGGTTCGTAATGACGAATATATTCGTTTAATCGCCGAGCTGAAACAAACGATCATTGTATTTTTTTATTAATTTTGAAATATATTTCATTTCAAATTTTATATATAAATTCATCAATCGTGCAATTATTTAATATTACATATTAAAATAATAAATGAAAAGCAAGTAATATCATTCGATGCAGAATTTTAACTTCATAGATAGTACACACCACTAAAGTGGTTCTCGTGAGTGTCATATTTTTTCAATGCAGAGTTTTAATTAAGGCAATACACGCCACTATAGTTGTTTTCGAAGATGTTATTCGATATTCGATGCAGAATTTTAACTTAGATAGTACACGTCACTATAGTGGTTCTCGTGAGTGTCATATTTTTTCAATACAGAGTTTTAATTAAGACATTACACGCCACTATAGTTGTTTTTGAAGATGTTATTTGACATTCTATGTAGAATTTTAACTTCTTAGATAGTATACGCCACTATAGTGGTTTTCATAAACGTTATTCGACATTCTATACAGAATTTTAACTTCTTAGATATTACATATAACTATAGTGATTTTAGTAAATGTCATTTGACATTCGATGCAGAATTTTAGCTTAGATAGTACACGTCACTAAAGTGGTTCTCGTGAGTGTCACATTTTTCAATGCAGAGTTTTAATTTAGACATTACACACAACTATAATGGTTTTTGAAGATGTTATTCGACATTTTATGTAGAATTTTACTTCTTAGATAGTATACGCCACTATAGTGGTTTTCGTAAACGTTATTCGACATTCTATACAGAATTTTAACTTCTTAGATACTACACACAACTATAATGGTTTTTGAAGACGTCATTTGACATTAAATGTAGAGTTTTAACTTAGACATTACTAACCACTATAATGGTTTACGTGGATATTATATTTTTTCGCTACACCACAATAATATCTTTTACAGATATCTTTTTACGATACGAGTACTTATAATGATGCTTACTTTATTCGTAAAATTATGTAAATTATAATCCTACATTGTTACTTATTCATTTAATTTAAAATACATTTTACTGTAAAAATGCAGATTTCCTTGTAAGAGAATTTACGTCATATTTAAATCGTGGTTATTATTATTTTTAAAAAAAAAAAAAAAAAAAAAAAGAGAAAAATTCAATATACCACGTTGTATTAGTACTTTCAACATTCCAATCGTATTTTTTTTTTTTCTATAACGTGACGACGTTGATTGATTTGAAAATATTTGATGTTAAAAAGAATGTTTTTAAGTTATGGGAATATTCGTCATTTAAAATAACTCGTTTAAAGCATGAATTTATATGAAATGAATTTTGTTCATGAAGAATTCGGAGTATTCGTGCGTGACACAAAAGCGGCAGAGAGAGAAAGAGAGAGAAAGAGAGAGAAAGAGAGAGAGGGGGAGAGAGAGAGAGACCTTCTCCTTCCTTTCTTTTTCAGTTTCCTTTTAGTCCGGTAGCCATCGTGCTTGAATTATAGAAGTATGCGCATAACTCGTCGTCCTTCCTGTGCTGCTTGACTACTCTCTACATTGTTCAACGAGAGGCGTCGGAAAAGTATTGTGATTTTAATTTAGGAACATCGCACGACCGAACAAAAGCTTTACGAATATTTTCAAGAACATTTTGTAGCACATTCCAAGGTAAGAAAGGTGTGGGACGGCGGCGAGGGGCGAGGGGGGGGGTGTGGTAGTAGTAGTGGTGGTGGTGGTGGTGGTGAGAGTCAGAGGGTTGTTAATATTTTTTCGCTAAGAAGAAACGAAGAAATGGGTGGAAAAAAAAAATTACAAAGAAAAAGAAAAATATAAAAATATGGATAAATGAAAAAGCATTAGAAACTTTTGTTTCTTCCTATTCCTTTGATTTCTAGTTTTTTTATTTTTTTTTTTTTATTTCTTTGGAACACGAGTTCTCTTGGAAAACGAAGTCGATTGTCGTTGTCGTCGTACTTTTTTCTTTTCACTCCCTAACCCCCTCCCCCCCCTTGTCCACCCCCTCTTCCCCTCACCTAATACACGCTCGATCGATCTCGAAGATCGTTTTTCCTTCGTAACCCCCCCCCCCTTTTTTCCTCTCTTTTACTATGGCCGTTAAATAAATCCTTGATAAAAAGGGATGGTAGTTGAGATAAAATACATGGTCGATAGTAAAATGGCCCTTTTGTTGTTGTTGTTGTTGTTGTTGTTTTTTTTTTTTTTTTTTTAAATCAGACGACTGAAAGTAAAAGTAATTAATCGAAACTGAATTCTACGCGTGCGAGAGAGAGAGAGGGAGAGAGAGAGAGAGAGAGAGAGAAAAGTAATATCTTGGTGTTCAATATTTGTATCCGATTTTCAGTTTAATAGGATTATTTAAGAGAAAAAAAGAAAAAAAAAAGAAAAATTTAAATATAATTTAACGTTAAAATATTATTTAAATTGTTATGGTCGCGAATGACAAATTAAATAAGTTTAAATGAAATGAAAATGATAATATAATTACATTAATTATTATTGATCATTTATTATATTTATTCGGTAAAATACTCTTCTCTGTAAATTAAATGAAAATCATATAATTATGTTAATTATTATCGATCATTTATAATATTTATTTTAATTCAACACCGTATTGAGATTATTATCGGTTTGTTTGTTTGTTTGTTTTTTTTTTTTTTAATTATAAAACAAAATATATATAATAGATATAAATCTTGTTTAAATGATTCAATAAAAAATGAAGTATAGTAACTAAACAAAATTTCTAATATATATAAAAATTACGTGTCACGTTGTTTGTCCGCAATGGACGACTAAACTACTGAACCGATTTGAATAAAATTTTGCACATTATGTGCAGTTTCATCCAACTTGAAAGATAGGATAGTTTATATATCTCAATTTATAATCGCAATATTATTTTATTAATCGCGAATTATTTGTTTATTAACAAAGAGTTATGATTATCTCTGTTGTTAGTTCAATAAGATTTTAACAGATGGCGGTATAAGGTAATTCGTTGACTTAAAGACGTGTGTGTATCGGACTCATTGTGAGCCACAGCAACGCATTGCGAGGCACCCCTAGTATTATATAAATAAAATAAAATAATATATATAAATTATTTGTTATTAAAGTACAATAAATTTAGTAGACAAATCTAAAAAGGGGGGAAAAAAATGAAAAGAAATAAAAAAGACAATATCTATAGAATAAAAATTACCAAAGAAAACAAATATTCAACGAGATAGTAAAATAAAAATAAATAAATAAATAAAAAAGAAAAGAAAAAACGAAAAAACGAAAAAACGAAAAAACAAAAAGGCGTGTTTTTAGGTAAAGAAAAACAAGAGAGATAGCAAAAATGTGATAGAGTGGTAGGGTTGTAGGGTGGGATGGTAGTGTGGGGGGGGGTTGGTTTCGGGGATAGAGGTAAAACGATATCGTTCGTTCACGATATCTGGGTTAGAATATACAATTCAAATAAATTCTATAGGCAATATTCTTTTATTCGTAGGGATTGGGGTGGAGGGGTGGGGGTAAAGTCAACGCATCTAACATCGTTTGCATTCAACTTGAAAACCTTCAAGGGATGGGAGGGTTGGTTAGTTGGTTGGTTGGTTGGTTGGTTGGTTGGTTGGTTGGTTTGAGTGTAGTCTACTATTTTTTTTCTTTCTTCTTTTTTCTTTTTTTGGAACATAGAAAAGCAAACGAGAAACTTTTCTATTCTATATAACTATCGTGTTCCTGTAATATGCATTAAGAGGAATAACTATGAAAAGCGATTATTGTATTAATGAATTGGAATACGAAACTAGGATCATCTTCTTTCAACGAATAACACTAACCACTATGCAAATGAAAATGGGCTAAAACTGTTTCGATGAACTTCGTATAAAATAATTTTCTTCTTTAACGATAATACAGAAAGAATAAAAAAAAAGGAAATAGAAAAAAGGAAAAAAGGAAAGACAAGAAAAGAAAAAAATCAAAGGAGATATAAATAAAAAGAACGCGATGTAAACGTAACATTTGAAATATAAACTGATAAATAAGATATTAGAAAAACTTGGGTTGGGGGGGGGGATGTAATTTTATTATTAACAAATTATTACCAAATATTACTAAAGTTTTTTTACTGAATTTTAATTTGTACCATCGTTTATTTTAAAATGATAAATAAGTTGATAAATAAGACACTAGAAAACCTGGGTTGAGGGGTGTAATTTTATTATTAAAAAATTATTACTAAATATTACTAGAGTTTTTTTTTTATTAAATTTTAATTTGTACGATAGTTTGTTACAAAATGATAAATAAATTGATAAATAAGACATTAAAAAAATCTGGGTTGGGGGGGTGTAATTTTCTTATTAAAAAATTATTGCTAAATATTACTAAAGTTTTTTACTGAATTTTAATTTGTACCATCGTTTATTTTAAAATGATAAATAAGTTAATAAATAAGTTGATAAATAAGACACTAGAAAACCTGGGTTGAGGAGTGTAATTTTATTATTAAAAAATAATTACTAAATATTAATAAAATTTTCTTTCGAATTTTTACTTTGTACCATCGTTTATTATAATAATGTTAAAAAACTAAATAAACAAAAAAGAAATATTAGATAAATGTTTGAATAAAATATATGTCCTCTGAAAATATTAAAAAAAAAATATTTTTAAAATATTCTCGAGGATAGTATATTTGGTTAAATGGATTTTTAGGAAAGTTAATTTTCCACGAATTTAATGGCAAAGTTTAATTTAATAACATTCGTAAAAACATATTTACTTTTACGTAATGGTTTATTGGGAAATGGAAGGAGAAAGGAAGGATTGGGAAATGTAATAATATCTCATAAATTCTTTAATTATGATAAAATAAATGTGATAGGATTTTGTTACCATTTACGAAATACGCGTGAGTAGAAAATATAATAAAATACATTATAAATAAAAATATTAATGTTCAATTTTCAGAGACAGAGTTAATATTGGACTGTCCGAAAACTTTGTATAATTAAAAAACGAAAT